GTTAGAGGGTAGATGTAGGGTTAGAGGGTAGGATGTTGTGAAGCTCCAGGGGAAAACCTGTATTTTCTACACAATGTCAGTAAATGTACCATAGATCAACCATCACTTTACAGAATACGTCACCTAAACACCCCAAAACCAGTCCAGACTCTAACCAGCTGTAGTACCTGGTTGTTCCACTAGGTGGAGTCTCATTCTGTTTAACCCTGTAGAGACCAGAGGAGGCGTCACTCAGACTACAGCTCATGGTGGCAGCAGAGAGCATTGTGGGAGTTTAGCTGCGACGGGACCATGACAGAGACTCTGAGGAGGTTCATGACCTCCAACCAGAGCTCATGTTGTTGAAGATACCTTCAGCATGGTGAAACATCTGATGAGCAGAGAGATAAAGTCGGGAAACATGGAGATCGTTCAACATCTACAGGATGAGGAGACGACATTAGTTCCAGCGATGGAAACGTGATGGTTCCTGGCTTTTGCGTTTTTGTAAAGTAGATAGTTACTCTTCTCTCTGGTCTCCATTGTTCTGAGTCCTGCTGACAGAAGACATCTCTGAGTTCTCCTTCTTCATGTTGTTCTGGTTAAAATGAGACAAACTGCTGCTGCAGTTCAGAGGGATTAAACAAGTGTCCTTCTAGCTGCTGTTAATAAACTCAGCTTGGTGCTCAATAGAACATGTTGATGTTTATGAGCTTCACATCCTGAGAGTCACTTTGGGAAGAAGTCTTTATGTAGTAAAAACGTGCTGCAGAATCATCAGAAGGTTTCCAGCAGATAAATCCTCTGAGGAGTTTATGGAGGTGGAAACAGACGAACACATCAGCTGGCCGCCGCTAACTGTTAGCAGAGAGATGGAAACTATTCAACGTTCTCGAGCTGGAGAGCATCGCTGAGATGTCAACACCAGCAGGTCCTCCTCCTCCTCCTCCTCCTCCTCTTCTTCTTCTTCTACTATTACTTCCTCTTCCTCTTGTTCTTCTTCTCCTTTCTTTTTCTCCCCTTTTTTCTTCTTCTCTCTCTCCTTCATCCTCTGACAGCTTGCTGCTTTGAGGAGCAGATCTTTATTTGCTGCTTTGATCTGCTGCTGATTTAACCGACCCTGGAAGCTGCTTTTATGAGTGATGCAGTGGAAAAAGTGAGATTGTGGACTCTGACGTGTCGACAGTCAGAGCGTCCTCGAACACAAACTCACTAAATCACTTCTGATGAGCTCACGGCTAATGCTTTCAGCAGACAGAACCTGAACTACACGCGCAGCCAAAACAAACTACATTCCCAGCATTCCCTTCAGCTGACATCATCCAGCCCACCGGCCGTCTCCATGGCAACCCATTATTCTTCATCACAGCCTGCCGGCCGAGCGGCTCCCCGAGGCCTTCGATGATGATGATGTGACCACCGCTGCATGGTCCTTCTAGCCTGCTGAATCTGATCTGTACTCATAAAACAACGTCTCCTGTGACCTGGACTCTTCACCATGATAGTTGCACTAATTGTTCAGCCTTAAACTTTGAGATGGATGTTTGGAGTGGAGAGAAAACGTCTGTCGAGGCTGCAAACACAGAAAGAGTTAAACATCTGCAGTGTGAGGAGACGAAACGACCAAAACACAGGATTACACAAATGACACAAAACAACGGTAAACAGGAAAAACAAGAGCCGATCAGACTTCATAACGGTGTGTCAGGACGGATGCAGCTTCCTTCATCTGGAGTTTGCACTTCACTATATTCAGCTGATGTTGTCATTAATGGTTGAGCCCTGCAGGTGAAGTCATTAACAGGTAACTTGCTCCAACAGATGAGCAGCTGTTCAGAGGAGAAGCTCCACATTTAGGAAACACCAGAGAACGAGAGAACCTCATGTGTTTCTGTAAAAGCAGCAGAACAGAGGAGCTGAGTGACGGCCAACGTGACACGAAGCAGCATTATAGGAGTTGTTGTTGTTTATATCTGAGTTGTTGTTGGAGAACCGTGTTGAAGCTGCAGAACTCTACAGATGTTCTGGTTTTTGTGCTTTAACTAGTCAAAGCTGCCCAGTCAGTTGTAACAGTTCCATGAAAACAACTTTCTTTTTTCCTGTTTGTGAGCAAACATTTCCTCTTAACGTGTGGTACGTGTTTAGTTTTGTGTTACTGTGACCTGCAGCTACATGTGGGTCAGAAAACATGATTCTGCTTCATCACTTTATTTGTTAGTTTGTGCTCGAAGATGGAACTTTGAATATTCACCCATAATGAGATGTTTAGACCTGCTGTCCAACATTTCAGGTTTTTATCTTTAATAGTTCCTCAGATGTTGATGCTCAAGTTTCAATGTGAGAACAAAGTTGCTGAATTTGTTTTATGTACGTTTATCTCCAAAACTATTTAATGCATCACAGATATCTTTATGAATATCTGTATTTCATGCTTTAAATGTTCGGGTCGATCAGATTGTTGTGAAAGTGATGATTTTAGCTGAACTCTGTGCAGCTGAGGTCTGTGATTAGCCCTCAGTCCTCACCTCCTCCACCTTCGCCCCTTCAGGTGAGAGCATGACCGTTCTAAACACGGCTGATTGGCTGCTGGGCTGCAGCAGCCCGCCCCCCGGCGCCGCCTCCAAGGACTATGGTACAGAGGTGCATGTGTGTGGACAGAACCAGCAGAGCTTCTGTCGGCCCAGCTGGTCTCTGGTGGTTTTTCTTTTTGCTCTGATTTGATTTGATTTGCTGTGTTCTGCTTCTCGCTGTGGATTTATTATCTGTGCGGTTCTGCATGTGCAGGGTTCCCAGCAGCCACACGCTTCCTGAACACTTTGATTAATTCGCTGGAAAGTCAGCAAATATCAGGAGAGCTGCCAAAAGGTCGCGCTGCGTGATTGTGTTTTTAAAGTTAACCGTTACGTTTTATGGTTTTTGTACTTTTCCTGAGCGCCAGAGGAGCTCAGAGGAATAAAGGTGGAGGTGGTGTTCCAGCCCTGGATGCTGTGGAGGGAACCCTGCACAGCGTTTTGTTCTTAGCCTGGAACTGCATGTAGTGTTACCCACTCAGGTTTTCTTTGTGTGTGTGTGGAGGATCTCTGCAGGGTTCACATTAACTCTGGCTCTTTCTGCTTCTTTAAGTGAAAACGGAGCCGATGAACAGCAGCGAGACCATCACCACGACGGGCGACACAGCGCTCGACACGTACGCAGGTTCAGGTACGGAAACCTTCAGCCCTTCGGCCAATCAGCAGCTCCGGCTGGTCGCTGCGTCGGTCTGCAGCAGCAGCAGGAGGCTTGACATCTCGCTGACCAGACTCTGTGTTTGAGGCCTGCTGAGCTCTGAAGGGAGAACTTTGGCTCCTCTCCAATCAAAATGCTTTAGATTCTGTTTACTGGAACAGAGTCTGGGTCGGATCGGCTCGAGTTCTGCTGTTCGGGACGGTTCAGTTAAAGGAGGCAGCAACGTTTCTCTGTCCAGTCAATAGTTCATCTCCACGAAGATTACACAAAGAAATGTGCTTCAGATAATGGCAGAAGTAAAATACTTGTGGATGAGAGTAGAGCGAGCCTGAACTCCTGCAGGCCTCCCGTTAGCTCAGCAGCTACAAGGACAAATATATTCAGACTCTGACCCAGTTCATGAGTAGTGACTGGTTTTTCTTTGAGAACCAGCTGTTAGTTCCTCATCAGGTGTTTGTGGGAAAAAACATTAATTAAAAAACAGTGAAAATTACTGCAAATATCTGTAAAATAAGGATTTTTTTTTCAGATTTAAATAAAAATTTTATAGTTACCATGTTTTTCCAGTGATTTAACTTTTGATATTCTTAAATAAACAGAATAAAGGATTGAACCATTTTTCATTCCATGATATGCATCATTTTTAAAATTTCAAATAACAGCTAATATCTGTAAAATAATGATCGTTTTGCTGTTTAATACACTAAACAGTGTAATTGTGTAGTTTAACATGGGAAACGATCACATTACAAATACATTCAGACTGTGTAAACTGTATATAAATGCTTTTTTCCTGTGATTCTGTGAGATATCTGTACCTTGACAAAACAGGGATAGTTTGTAAAAAAAAAGAAAAGAGAAAACTGTTCAAACAAATTAATGTTTGAATGACTGAAGCCGAAAACAGTGATGTCGTTATGAAAACCAGCTGTTAGAACCAACCCAAGAATGTTAGAAAACAATTAAAAACACTGACCGGACCCTGAACTAACCTGTAACCTTGTTGTTCTCATTTGTTCCTGTTGGTTCCTGTTGGTTCCCGTTGGTTCCTGTTGGTTCCTGTTGGTTCCCGCTGGTTCCTGTTGGTTCCCGCTGGTTCCTGTTGGTTCCTGCTGGTTCCTGTTGGTTCCTGTTGGTTCTGCTGGTTCCTGCTGGTTCCTGCTGGTTCCTGCTGGTTCCTGTTGGTTCCTGCTGGTTCCTGTTGGTTCCTGTTGGTTCTGCTGGTTCCTGCTGGTTCCTGCTGGTTCCTGTTGGTTCCTGCTGGTTCCTGTTGGTTCCTGTTGGTTCTGCTGGTTCCTGCTGGTTCCTGCTGGTTCCTGTTGGTTCCTGCTGGTT